AAAAAAAAAAAAAAAAAAAAAAAAAAAAAAAAAACTATGGTGTCTGGGTGATTATGATGTGTCAATGTAGGTTCAACCATGGTGAAAAATGTACCATACTGATGAGTGATGTTGACAACGGCAAAGGTTATACATGTTTGTGAACAGGAGGTACATGGGAAATCTCCATATCTTCCTCTCAATTTTATTGTGAAACTAAAACTGCTATAAAAAATGTCTTTTTTTTTAAATTCCCACCTCGGAGGATGAGAGAAGCCTTTGATCATGCAGGTGGCAAGGAAAGCAAAATCCCCAAGAAAGAAGCAAGTTACAGTCAAAGCAAGGAGAAGCCAAAAAGAAAAGGAAATACTTATAGCACAAGAATGGTCCTTGGGGTTGGGGTGGGGAGAAAGAAAGGGCCTAGTCCCAGAAGATTCAAGGTTGGACGTAAGCATGAAGAAGAAAGTGAACAAGGTGTGCAAAATTAAAAGACAGCCAAAGATCAGAGTGAGAAGGCCTGCCTCGGGCCGGCGCATGCAGAGATCCCAAGTGGGGACGAGGCTGATCCTCTGCACCTGGGCTTTGCTCAGTAGTCGATAGGAGACTGCCAAGAGAGGAAGCGAATGTCTCTGAAGGCAATCTCCCATTGCAAAGGACAAGAGCTCATTAGTGTGCAGATGCACAGCGCTCCATGTACCGGAACCAGAGAGGCTAGAAGAGACCCAGCTCTCACATAGAGCTTCACCTTAGAAATCAGAGCAGGGGTTTAGCTGGTCCCATAAACACTGACCTTGCACAGCCCACAGAAACAAAAGAGACGATAGTTAAGTATCCAGAATACATAAAGAAAAGCAGCAAATCATTAAGAAAAATACAACCCAATAGAAAAAGGGCAATAGACATGAACTGGTAATTCACAGAAAAAAGCTCAAATGTTAACATGTGAAGAGTAGTCTCAACCTCACTGGCAATCTAAATCTAAACAGATAGGCAAACATATAGATAGACAATGCAAATACTCTTTGTAAGAATATATAATGAAGTGTCGATGAGGGTGTAGGAACCCCAGAACACTGACAGAGCAGGTGGAAGTGCTTGCCTTGGGACCGATCTGGCAGCATCTCATAAAACTGTAAATGTGCGTGCCCTGCTTCTCCAACATCCCACTCTGGAAAAACCCCCAGAGGGGCTCTCATACCACTTAGCAAGGAAGTATTTGCCGGAGATGTGCACTGCAACATTATACTTATAGAATAAAACCTGAAAATAACTTAAATGTCTCAGTCAGGGGAAAGACAATCCAAATGGTACAGCTCTTTTAATGTAAGTTATTTAAAAGAACTAGATCCTTAGGCACCCTGCAAAAATACACACGGGACTGTGTAAGTTCTCCTGTACTGTATTACATGTATTGCTCAGGCACATACATGTGTTAGTACAAAACACCAAACGGACTGTAGAGTCTGCTTCTAGGTAAGATGGAGTAAATACATCCCACCCTCTTGCTTCCACTGAACGCTGTAAATTCTGAACGGATTACACGGAGCAGCTATGTGAAACCCTGAAAAGTAAAGAGCAGCAGGTAGCTTGGGGAGAAGACCTAAACTGTCAGAACCGCCAACCAGCAGTGAGCTTGCCACTCAAACCCTCAGGCCCAGGAGGGTTGACCAGCTGACCCACGCGGAGCACCAGGAAAAGAATAGGAGTAGGAGTAGGACAGGCATCTGCTGGCAGGGACCATACAGTGGTGGGAGCCCCCAGGCAACTTGAACTTCAAGGAAGAGAACCTTCCTCACCACTGGAAGGAACTGAGGCCCTCTGAGGTCCTGGTGCCTGGCCCTGGATGTGGGCATAGCTGCAGAAACATGTGACAGGCAGGACACGCAAAGCCGCAACACTCTAGGTAACAGACTGAGCTACTGAGTGCCAAGGACACAGTGGAGAATTAATGCAGACACTGTGCTGGCAGCAGGGGCCCAAGGGGTTCCACGTGTAAGGAGGATATAGGGTGCTGTTGTGGCTTGAAGATGGGGTGGAGTCGTGTGATAAGAAGTCCAATCAGCCTTAGAGGCTGAAAGTGGCCCCACCTGACAGCCAAGGAAACAGGGACCTCAGTCCTACAGATGTAGGGAGCTGGATTCTGCCAGAAAACCCAAATATGCTTGGGAGCAGACTCATGCCCGGGGCTGCTGGGAGAGAGAGCGCAGCCTGGGCAACACCTTGACTCTGGCCACGCGAGCTCCCAGGCAGAAACCCCCGCAGGCTGCTCTCCTCCAGGGCTGTATGGCAGGTGTTTCTGGCCACTCAGTTTGCAGTGATCTGTCACGCAATAAAAAATGAATACAGATTTTGGTACCTGGAAGAGGGCTGCCACCATAACAAATACTATTTAAGTTCATTTTGAGGTAAATTATATAACCCTGAAGTATCACATGATAGCATTTGGGGCTCTCTTATGTCTCTCAAAGGAGAACACTCCTTTTGCTTATATTATTTTTCTAAAATAGTATGGAGTGTGTCCCTTAATTCTTCAGGCAATTTGTTTCTTCTGTTTTTTAGAACAACTGCCAAGTTAACTGTGTTTACTTGAAAAAGAGGCCCAACAAGTGAATTCCAACCTATATGTAAATCAACATGAGCTTTTTACTACTATCCACCATACACTTTGAGTTTGGTACACTGTCCTGGCTTCAGGTCCCCCAGAAGCTGCAGTATGGTGTCCAAGAGCACCCGACTGGAGTTAACCAGGAATTCACGACCACAGGCTATGGCAGCAACGTCTGCAACAGAAAGACAAAACCAAGCATCAGTCACTGTAGCTGCAGAATCTAGAAAAGCTTGTCCACGAGAGTACATGCCATTGCTTTCCTTTGGACAGGCCCAAAGAAAACACGTAATAGCCCACAAGGCACTAAAAAATGGTGTTATCCACAGGGCAACAGCCCAGAAAGAGCAACTGGCAGCCACAACAGTAAGACAGAGAGTAATGTCCTGTGTGATTAGCAGACGCCTCATTAGCAGAACAGAGCACTCCGATCCAAAGACACCTGCAGCCGGACCGCAGCTCAGCAAGTGGACACCCAGCTCTGGGTACTGGACCAAACAGCTGTGGGCAGTCAGGATCCAAACAGAAGGTGCAGTCTGATAACGTCATCTGGGACTAAGGACATGAAAATCTACTTTCAATCCCCATGAGTGAAATCCTAATAACTTTGAACCATAATACCAAACTGAAATCATGAGGTCAAAAGAAAGCATGGAAACTGATTCTGAAAAACACTTTTTCTAAATTTTACATCTTACTGGGGGTCAGCAAGTATCATGCTTCTTCATGCTGGGGCCCTCCAGAGGCACCCTGGAGACCAGACCAAGGAGTTACCCCAGCTCTCCCTGGACATGTGGCAGGAAACACTGCCTGTGTCAGCATTTCCAAATGCCTGCAGGGGCACACCAGCGACGCAAGTCTGTTTATGTACGTGCTGGCAGGATCTTTCTTTAGCCAGATCTAACAGTAAAACCATGACTCAAAGTGACTAAAGCTCCTCCCTCAAGTGAGCACGTCAAGGTGGAAGAGAAGCTGGCAGCAGCAGCCCAGTCATCCTCCGGACTTAACAGAAATGCTTCTAGTAATTCAGTGAGGGTGATGTCTGAAGGATGATTCTGGTCAATAATCTTTACTAGTTTAAGGAGGTTCTCTTCTACTTTTTGTTTGCTAATAATCATCAAGAACAGAGGATGGATTTTATCGTTACTTGCTCTGCCTTTGATTAACTGTGATCTGATGGCAGAGTATAAAATTTCATCTATGCTAGCAGATCAACTTTATGGAATCAGGTCTTGGACATTCCTATTTACTTTTGTTGATCTGAACTAAGAAGGATCAACAGAGGTATATTAAAGTCTTCTAACGAACAGGTTTTTTCCCATTTCTGCTTGTCTTCCCAGCCATGTGTGCCTCATGTACTGGTACTGTGTTACCTGTATACAATTTCATGGTACCTGTAACTTGACTGAGGACAGGACCATTCAGTGACACAAACCAACCTTCTTTGTCCATTGAATGTGAACCTACCTGATGACTGCATTTTCTAGTTTTACCAAAGAAGTATCTGGGGGTGAATGAAGATTTAAGTATTTGCATCATATACTTGTAGCATCATTTTCAGATGGTTTTTCAGGGGAGAGCATTCTTCATGTGACCACAGCAGATTCCACATGGGCACCTGGCACTTAGGCACACATTGTGGCTGTGCACTTTGGTAGCCAGTTTCCAGGGATGACTCTCTACCCAACCATGCCTCTGGTATGCAGACCCTTGGGTTACCCTTGCCCCATGACTCATATGTCACCAGCAGAATGCAGCAGAACTGCACTGTGTGGCTCTCAAGGTGACATAGGAAGGATCCTTGGTCTCTCATCACTTGCTTTAGGAGCACTGAGTCGCTAGGAAAGAAAAATCTCCCTATCCTGAGGCCACCAGAGATGCAGACCATAGAAGGAGCACAAGGTGGAGAAACTCTAAGACTACATGAGGAGAGAGAAAGATGCCTCAAGCCACCAGCTGTTCACTCCCTGAAGTTTTGGTCTGTTACACAGAAACATCACTCAGACATCACTGAAGAAAAAATTCACAGAGCAAAAAATACAGTGAGTCACAGCAGACACAGCCACTCAACAAACACAGCCACTTGACTGGTGGGGGAGGTCCTGCACCAGGCATCCAGTGTCTAACAGCAGATGCCAACCCTGCACCTCACTGGGATCAGCAACTGAAGAGCAGACCCTGACGTGAAGCAGATGTGAAGGAATTCCTACACAAATAGCTCTTGTCTGCATCAATGTGTCTGGCATGCTTATGAGTCAACTCTAGGACCATGAGAGACTGCTGGCTTAATTTTCTGTTAAAATGTACTTACTTTTTCAAGGTTTTTCTTTGACTTATTTTTTATTGAAGTATACTTGATATACAGCATTGTATCAGTTTCAAGTGTACAACATAGTGGTTCAACAATTATATATGTTACAAAATCCTCACAATAGGTGTAGTTATACGGGTCACCATATAGTTAGTACAATATTATTGACTGCATTTCCTATGCTGTGCCCTGTGATTATTCATTTTATAATCGGAAGTTTATACCTCTTTTATCCCCTTCACCTATTTTGCCCATCTCCCCATCCTCCCATTGCAACCACTAGCCTTTTCTGTTTAACTCTGTTTCTGATTTGACAATGTTTTTTAGACTTCAGTTATAAGTGAAATCATATGGTATTTGTCTTTCTCTGACTTATTTATCTTAGCATAATACCCTCTAGGTTCATCCATGTTGTTGCAAATGGCAAGATTCCATTCTTTTTTATGGCTGAGTAATATTTCACTGTGTATACATATATCTTCCTTACCCATCCATTTATCAACAGACACTTAAGATTGCTTCCGTATCTTGGCTACTGTAACTAATGCTGTAATAAACACAGGTGTGCATTTTTCTTCTCCACTGGTGACTGGTGGGACTGCTGGACCCCCAGTGGGCAGGGGCTAGGAGGCTGCCTCGGTTACATCTAGAGCTGATGCTTTAGTTCTGAAAATCAGCTTCCTTCACTTGGGAGTCCGGTTGCCCTTTAAACTACAGCTATTTTTTCCATGCCCGGGAGCAAGAGAATCTGCCTGAGTCCCTCAGGGGCATCCCTCCCTATTCTTGCAGCTGCCACATCTCCATAGTCGTTTTCTATATGGTCTTTCTCCCCCTCATTGTGCAGAAGCTGCTCACTCAGTCCTAGCTTCTTGGCCGTGTATAGATATAGATTCGGTGTGTATGTGGGATGTACAACTACAGGAATATACTAGAGCAACAAAATTATATACTTGAAATTTGAAAATTGCCAGGTATATTATTACATCTCAGCAAAGCTATTAAAAAGTAAATTAATAATAATAGGGATATAATTTTCATGTTTAATGGATTACTTAGTCTCCACTGCTCATCCTGGACCTGTTTCCTATAAACTTCTTACCTGCAGCACTTAACAGTGTTCCGTATTTTCTGAAAGAAACGTAAGCAAGTTTCCTCTGATGTTAATACTGCGACCCTGTTTTATTGTTTGGTTTTTGTTTCTTTGCCTTCCTTGTGATGGTTTCTTACCAAGTCAATTATCCGTGTCAGGAGTGGGAGTGAGGGCCAAGGGCAGACCTCCGTCTGCCTCTTAAGACTATTTACAGAAGCCTCCCCAGGGCTGGAGGGGCTGTCCAGTCCCCTTGGGAACTGGCTCCTAGAATTCGGTTTCTCTCCTATGTGTCTGACTTGGGTTTCTGTGCAAGGAGGTCGTGTTAGAGAGAAGCATTCTGTAACTTGAGGGCCACTGAGAGAGATGAGCCTACTGTCCTCTGTTGGCTGCTGTTTGCCTGACACTAGGAGGGGTTCCCACATCTCTTCTCATCTGTGCATGCCTTCCCCTGTAACACCTGCCCCACCAAGCTAGGTGAGTCTCCACTGAGGAGTGAGAATGGCCACTGTTAGGAAGTCCAGTCACAGAAAAATCAATGGCAAGGCATCTGATGGCATGGGTTTACTTCCAGGCAAACGCTACCACCTGTTGATTCACCAGGAAGAAAGGAGCTCCAAGCGAAAGGCCCATCTCCCACGGATCATCCCCGAGCACAGCTCCACGGTTCCAGCTGGCCCCCAGTGCCTCCTCTCACCCCCTGCTGCACTCTGAGGGAAGGAAGACTCCCAGAAACCTTCATTTCTCCAAACCTGTAACTGACTCCGGGACCATTACCAGAAAGACCCTCCTTCCTTCTCTCCACGAGCCCTGCAACATTTAGTGAATAGAGAATTACTCTGCAACCGAGACTGATGACAGCGACATCCTTCTGTAGAAGGATGATTTTTCAAAAGTCCCAGAAAATTCCTCTATACAAAAATGACAGCCAATCTGAAGGTTAATTTGCCCACACTATGAGTCATTCAAGAAATAATCAAAGAATTAACTATGGTCCCAAAATCCCTATGGGAAAAAGATTCTATGGACAGAATCAAATAATTGGAGTAAAAGCCAGAAGAGGCCAGCTGATTACCCTACACCTTCACCTCACTTCCTAAATATTCTCTAGAGCTGAGCCATAGAAAGATGCAGGCCAACTGTGATCCACCTGAAAGAAAAAGAACCAGGAATTCCATGTACCTGTCCCTGCCATCACACTATGTTACCTGTTTTAAAAAAACCTGTCAAGGATACAGATTTGTGAACAAGTAACAGAATAATTACACCCCACTTTGCTACAGAGCCTAGCCTGAATGCCATCCTCTCTTTGGCCCACCTAAAGCTAAATGCTTTATAGGAACAGATCAATGCTCAGGTTTCTTTAGTTTCCAATCCTACAAAGTTAGTCAATTTACTTGCCTTTACCTAAAAATCAACAGTTCTTCCAGAAAGTGATGTCCCCAGGGATTCAATCGAATTCCATCCTACTTCTCTCAAGTCTTTATCCCAGACTTTAAGGGTACAGGGAGCCCCCTGTGGAGGAATCCTCTGACCCAGGAAGTAGAGCCTCCTCATAGGCACCATGATCTGGAAAGCTCTAAGGTTGGCCATTTCATCTCCTCACTGGACCAGCTTTTAAAAAGGGACATGAACTTCTCAGGAAACACTCCAATTCCACAAAACAACAGGTCATTATGTAGGCCACCTCTGTCAACTGAAGGAAGGGCATTATGGAAGGAAAGGTTACAAAGTAGCCAAAATTAACCAAGAACAACCACTGAGAGACTGAGAATTTCCATGATGAACTGGATACTGCAGGTAATAGACACCAATTTTTCTGAATTAGCAAGATATCTATACGATTGGACTGAACCAAACATGTCAGAGCCACACACATGGAACACAGAAACTGCAGTCTAGAAGCATCCACTAGGGCAGAGCTTGGGGAGGATGTCCCTACTCCAAAGCCTCACTTAGCGCTGCCTGTTGAGGGGTCTTGTCCCCAGAGCAAACACGGGCACCACCAGGCTGGTCCTGAAGTCACCCTGGGTGCAGTCCCAGTGTGTCCTCCTCTTCAGGACGCCTCAAGCTACACTTGTCGTGTACTTGTTACCTGAGTTTGAAGTTCTGTTTGGCTGTTGTCCTGGCAGCTGACTCAACAGATGATTCAGAGAGACAGGATGAAATCATAGCTATTGGTGCTCAAACTGAAAATCAGCTCTCTACAAGCCAGCCTCACCTTTGAGAGGCCACGACGGCTCCTGATGATCTCCCCAAGAGCTCGACGAACCCAGCACCTCCAATATCAAAGATCCCTCACACAGAAAACCACAGACTGTTCTGACATGGGCAGGAGTAGCGACCAGGATGTAAGACAGTGCAGCCATGGTGAAAAATTGTCTGGCAGAGTCTCCAAAAGTGAAACACAGAACTCACAGAACTATCACAGGACCCCGCAACTTCACTCCTGGTATATGCCCACAAGAACCAAAGATACGTTCATATGCAACTTGGCATGGATGCTCCCAGCAGCATTGCCCGAAATAGCCAAAAGGCGGAAACTGTCCTAACACCCATCCGCAGCCTCTTCACTGCAGACTTGGACTAGGGGATCCCAGAAACCCCCAGGTCAGGGTCCAGAACTGCATCCTCACCTGGGGCTAAGACTCTCCTCTTGGAAGATGAACACAGGCTGGGAGTGGTGCAAGCAGAGCTGGACACGGGTGGTCAGCTCACATCTGTCCTCTTCCCTGTGTCAATGCCAGTGTGGAGGAGGGGAAGAGGATGTGGAGGATGCCAGGGCCAGGAGCAGGCACAGCCCCTGACACAGGATACTCTGCTGTCAACTCTGCAGGCCTCTTACGTCCATGAAAGGATAACTGGACCCAGTCCTGCCCATAAACTGGCAATAATCAAAAAGAAATTTCTATTCTGTAATCATCATCTAATATTGTTGGAATGAATAAACCCAGGATTAAGAGGGAAGGAGTACAATTGTGCCTTCAAATAATCAAAAAGAAACAGTAGTTAGAAGAACAAGTTTTCTACTTGCAAGCAAAGTGAATTAATCTTCATGGGACTGTGATAACAGTTTGCCATCTTCCATTAAGTTCTATATTAATCCTCTTATAAAAGTTACTGCAGACAATCACGTCCTCTATGTCATACAGCACCGTGGTTATAATGTGCTCTCACCAGCCTGAGTTCAGCAGAATGCCCACCACACTGTGTCAGGCATACAGAGAGGTGTTACTATTCTACTCTGAGGATGAAGAAAATGAAGTCTAGAGAATTCACACCCTGCGAAGCGGGTGAGCTGGGCCTAAAAAGGCCAGCCCCTTGCCACAATACTACCCTATTATTAAGAATGGTGGATGAGTAAGAAATACAACAATTTAATGCTTAAACAAACCTGTGGCTTTCAGATTTTGCTTAGGATACAATAAACCGGAAAGAGTTACACCTCCATTCTTTAAGCAGGGCAGGGAAAGTAACCTGGAAAATCACAACTTGCCTTGAACATGTCAGAGAGTTGAGGCCCGGGTTCAATCTAATAAGAAAAACCAGAAGGGGCAGGTGCCCCAAGGAGAGATGTGAGGCAAGTATTTACGTACCTGGAGCAGATGCCAGATGCCATACAAGCCAGCAAGGAAGAGTCAGCTACCAGTTTTAACAAAGTGTCTGGTCAGCAGCTGCCAGGGCCTAAGGAGGGGCCGAGGGGCTGGCTACAGAAGGAAGGGATGGGGGAGGTGTGGGGAGAGGTAATGGAATGGTTTCATGTCCTAACTGTGGTGGTCATATGACTATGTGCATATGTTAAAACTTTCAGAACTGCAAAACAATGAGAAAAACATCTGTAATGGGTGAGTTCTAAATTCTTTTAAATCAAAAAAACCCTCATTGTGGAAGGCACAGGATCTATCTGGCAGCTAAACCAAGGTCTCTGCAGCACTGCCCACTGCCCACAGTGGTCTTCACAATGGAGACGCAGAGGCCTGCAAGACCTCAGCGAAGTAGCACATTAAAAACACAGCACCACATAGAGATACCTCGAGACAAGTGCTGGGCATAGAAGCCACAGGGCATAAATCTGCAAAGAAGTAAAAAGCTAACCTTTGCAAACAATATGGCTTCTCTCTCACTTACCAACTTTACATTTCCCTGTATGGCCCCGGAAGATGACTGGTTAGCCAGAGACGGGTAAGATTCCTCAAAGGAGGAACAACCTAAGACAGGCACAGTCGCAGGGGGGCCATCAGGTGAGAATTTGGGGATCAACAGAGGTGAGGCTCAGAACCTCACCCCCCCTGCTTTGAGAGAAATCTTCTGCATCCGTGGATGTCTTGCTGCCCTTGTCTAGCCTGGATTAATACTTAGTCCATAGGCACACACCTGATCATCTGATCATCTACATTTGCCTTCTTACAGCACTAAACTATGTTTTCTACCTTTATCTTGCATCTACCTACCACTTCAGCATTTTATTAAAAATAAAAATAATAATAATAATAGGAGAAATGTGGGATCAACATATAAATCAAGTACAAAAATCAAANTTATTCACTATGTAAGAATTCGTTCATCATGTAAGAACTTGTTCGTTATGCTTCAGAAGATTGGAGACTGACGAGAATTAGGCTTGAGATGGATTAATGATTGTGCATTGAGCACTGACCCCCCTATACAGAATTTTATTGTTGTTAACAACCATTTGATCAATAAATATGAGAGATGCCTTCTCAAAAAAAACAAAAAACAAAAAAAACACAGCACCACAGCATGGAACCTTCTCGGTGAGATTCACTGACGTGTAAGTGAAAAATATACATGCTCACGTCTGCCTCTGCATGAGAGTTCCTACGTGAGCCACTCCAAGCAGGGAAAAATGAAGACAAGGTGAGCTTGTACCCCGGACAACAGGCTGGCTTTACCAGCTGGACAGCCGCCTCCCTGCTACTCAACTCCCAGACATTCAGCTCAGATTCGTGACTCAACAAATAAATAAATTACATGTCAGACTTTTTGGGTCACAGGCAAATAGCAAAAAATCTAATCATCAAATTTAAAAAAACACTCCAGAACAATTTTTAAAGGTAGGGCAACACAAGCCTCCTCCAACCAGAGACGCTGATAAAAGCACATAGGGCATCAGGACCGCTTAGAGACCACCCAAGTGCAGCACCTACCCCAGAAGAGTCACCAGTTTTTGAGGGACTATGAAGTTGTCTACACAGGATCTACCACATTCAGATTCAGTAGATGACGGATGATGCTATGAGGAAAATAAACTCTGTCTCTGACAGCAAAGAATTACCCTAAGATTAGCACAAGACACAGCAGAGAAGAAAGAGCAGCAGAAAACACAACTGCCCCAGCAGAACGTTCAACTATTTCCTGACTCAGAGCACAGAGCCTCAGACGTGCCCACACACAGGCCTCCTACTGTACTGGGGCCTCACTGACGACCGCGTCACTCAGCTTTATCCCCAGCCGCAGCGCTAATGCAGGATTCTATCGCAACTACAATCTCTGGGAGAAAATTATTTAAGAGACAATTTAGGTTTGTGGGATTCTTTATTTATTGTACCAAAACAGCAGCAAGAACTTAGCTAAAAAGCTTTCACCTTACCTACACATCAGTAAAATGAGGGTTATTCTAAATAACAAGTAGCTGAATGTACAGTTTTGTTTTGAGTCGACTAACCTACAGAAGAGAGTAGAACATGCAAATTCATCCTGTTTCCTAACATCAGTCCTTCTTACTCACCCATCCATATCAGGATAACGTGAGGTGATGTTCACATACACAACTGGGTACCTAACCCAGACTTAGGTGAATCAGATTCTCTAGGGTAAGACCCACATGATTTTGGAAACAGTTCCTGAGAGGTGTGTGTGTGTGTGCACACACACACACCTCACTGTAACCACTGCTCTAGAACACACCTCCAACAGTCACTATGTTTGAAAACAATTACTTACTTGTTACTATTCCGGCCAAAGCAAAAACAAACTGATTTTCATCAGAATCAAGCTCTTTGACATCCCCGTCCAGTGACTTCACAAAACTCTCCATTGTTTGGCCAGTAATGTTGAAGAACTTCAAAGCTTTATCCTGAAAGTTTGAAAATGAAAGCAGACACCAGTATGAAAACATTTTAAAAGTGAAGGATACAGAAGACAAACTCTGGTTTTAATTACAGACACCATATTTAAACACCTATTGCTTCACAAAAAGTTGCCATTTAAAGATCAACAAAATGAAGTTTAGGACACATAGAAAATTACCCTAAGGACTGATAGGAAGAATAAAATAAATAAATAAATATATATATATGGGAAACAGCTCAAATTTATACAATGATGGAAATATTGTGTAATATATGCAAGAAATAAACTAGAAAAAATATATTCTCTGTTCTCGGCATGAAACCAGAGATTTTAAACCTTTGGCAGAACTGTTTTTCAAATATAATCTTAACTGAAACCTCAACATATAAAAGACAGAAGGACAGTGAATGGCTCTCTGGCAGTTTAACTCTTCATTACTAGGCAAAAAGTACTTCCAAGTTTGCAGAACCTTTGACAGACTTTCTTGGGGTGCTGGGGTTCTAGTAGTCATTTAAAAACCAGCACACTGACCAACAGCACCAGGCACTTCATGGGGTGACATAAACGTTCTAAGCCTGGGTTATGGTGACCATTACACAACTCTGGAACAATCAGCTAAAAACCACTGAATTGTACTCTTACAGACTGGTGGATTTTATGGTCCATAAATTATACCTCAATAAACTTTAAACTACATTCCGTCTCTGTAAAGTCACACACAACTTGCATTTTTGCAAGTGTAAAGTGATTGATTATTGGCCTCCCACCAAACCTCCCCCTCAACTTCTCCTCCCGTTCATGCCCTCACCATTCCCCAGCGTCACATTGCAGTCTTCCTTGGCTCCTCTCATTCTCCGCCACCACACCTGCCTCGGACCCCCATCATATCAGGGTGCTGCCGAGCACAAGCCAGTCTGAGCCACACCGAGGGCCTTCCAGTCCGCCTTCCGGCCCAGCCTCCATGCCCACAACCCCACCTCCCACCTGTCCTCACTCACTGGCAGGTGAATCTTCCCAAAATTCTCCTCTGGTCTTACCACTCTTTTACTCAAAACCCTCAAGGAGTTTTTTCCCTCAAGTCCCAGCACCTGGATAAAATCATCAATCTGGCTTCTGAGGTCTCTTCCACGGTCACATTCCACTCTACCTTTTAAGCCTCGCCTCCCTACGACCTCACGCACTAGCCTTCCTCTCCGCATCAGCTGACCCATGCTCCGTCAGGCTGCCCACCCCATGCCTCTGGCTACGCTATTCCCTCCTCTTGAGCTACCCTCCCTATCATCTGCCATTGCTACCTGTTCCCACCGATCAAGTTCCATCTCAAACTTCTCATCCTCTGTGAAGTTCCTTGATGTGTGTGTGCGGTATTGATGTATACATATATGGTAAATAACATGTAACATTCAATGAACTAAATATTACATTGCCCTCAGGCAGAGAAAGACAAATACCAAATGATTTCCCTCATTTGTGGAGTATAACAACAAAGCAAAACTGAAGGAACAAAAGAGCAGCAGACTCACAGACTCCAAGAAGGGACTAGCCATTACCAAAGGGGAGGCGTGGGGGAAGACAGGTGGGGAGAAAGGGAGAAGAGGATTGTGGGGTATCATGATTAGTGCACATGGTGTGTGTGGGGTCACAGAGAAGACAGTGTAGCTCAGAGAAGACAAGTAGGGACTCTGTGGCATCTTACTACATTGATGGGCAGTGACTGTAATGGGGGTGGGGGCACTCGATGATAAGGGTGAATGTAGTAACCACATTGTTTTTCTTGTGAGACCTTCATAAGAGTGTATATCAATGATACGTTAATAAAAAAAAATTTCATTGCCCATGGGATAACATATGTAAAAGCACTTTAAACTTTGTTAAATGCACATAGGTGTCAAGTCCTAATACTGAAGCAGTACCCCCACAAACACGGCACAGAATCTGGGAGAGGGGATCTTACTCCATTCACTTTACATACCCCCCAGGGCACCAGGTTACAATGGACCCTAGACAGTTGGTAGTCCAAAACTATGTGGTGAGTGAACAAAAGAAATGGATTTAGTCTGTAAGCACCTCGGTAGATGCGCTGCATCCTCTGAGTTACGTACACATGATCAACAATATCTGACAGCCCACTGGTCACACTTACACCTCCCAAAATGGCTTTCACAACTTCCTCGCTGCTGGAGACGCCCCACAGGAGGGTGCAAGCTGCCGCTCCCATTTCTGTACAATATTCCGCCTGCTGCAGGAGTTGCTGCTTTGCTTCATTCAGCTGCTGTCTAAGAGCCAATTTCTCCTGAAACCCAAACAAAAAATCAGAAAAATGAATAGCATTCAACCTCGAAATACCTCTTTTGTGTTTCCTCTTCCAAATATATTTTATTAAGAAATGTACACAGGGTTACAGAAAACAGTTGGCAAATTAAAACTAAGTCTTTAGCAGCCATAATCCATGTTTTTAAAAAAGAAACCTTAAGAGCCAAAAATAACACTCTTAGAAAAAACACACTACTGTATTTGAGTTCATAAATACTGCCAAAGACTTGAATGCGCCTTCTTTAAGTAAAACCCAACCTGAGGCATATCAGGCCTCAAGGCATATCAGGACCAGCACCAGCTGCAACACCTGAAAGAAGAATGACCCAGCACAGCAGTCCACATGCAGGGCGACCCTCCCGACGCAGGAGTCTGCCGCCTGCAGGGCTCACCCACTGTCAGAACACCATGGCGCACAGCTCAGGCTAGGGAAGCAAGGCAGGAGCAGGGGAGGGTGAGGAGCAGGAAGGGAAGCCTCCCGGGACAGCGAGCTAAGCCCCAGTGGGACAAGCAGGTGGAGGCCAGGGAAGATTTCTCACCCTCCACCAGCAGCACCCGAAGAAATGTAGCTGCCAAGTCCCAGCCACGACTCAATGAGTGGCCTGTCTGCCCGATGTCCCCTCTGACCACACGAGCTCTCCTAATGGTTTGCTTTCTGGGGGGTCTCGGGTGATGTGGAGTTTCCTGCACTCCCCAGCCACCACCACCACTTCACTAATTCTTGCTCCCTGAAATTCCCTTAAAAGATGGAAACATTTCTTTAATAAAAGAGAACGTTAAAAAATACAAAAACCGAGGGGCGGAGCCAGGATGGCGGCGTGAGTAGAGCAGTGGAAATCTCCTCCCAAAAACACATAGAGCTATGAAAATATAACAAAGAAAAATCTTCCTAAAATAGAGACCACAGGACACAGGACAACATCCAGACCACATCCACACCTGCAAGAACCCAGCACCTTGCGAAGGGGGTAAGATACAAGCCCCAGCCCGGCGGGACCCGAGCGCCCCTCCCCCCGGCTCCCGGCGGGTGGAGAGAAACCGGAGCGGTTTTTTTTTTTTTGGCGAGCGCTTTTTGGAAGCCTTAGAGGGACGGGCCCCCGTTGCTGGGGAGGCAGGGTGGCGGGACCGGTGAGGAGGTGCCTGGGAACGGCGCCGGAGGACAAAGAATATCCCGCGTTTCTCCCTGCGAGACCTGGGGGCGGGTGCCTGAGACCGGTGCCTGAGGACGGAGGAGGTCGCGCGTTTTTCCCTTTTTTTTTTTTTCTCTTTTTGGCGAGCGCTTTTTGGAAGCCTTGAAGGGACGGGGACCCCAGTGCTAGGGAGGCACGGTGGCGGGACTGGTGAGCGGGTGGCTGGGACCGGCGCCTGAGGACAAAGAATATCCCCCGTTTTTCCCTGCGGGACCGGTGGGCGGGTGCCTGAGACCGGCACTTGAGGACAGAGGAAATCGCGCGTTTTTCCCCTTTTTTTTTTCTCTTTTCTGCGAGTGCTTTTTGGAAGCCTAAAAGGGACAGGGACCCCGGTGCTAGGGAGGCAGGGCGGCGGGACTGGTGAGCGGGTGCCTGGGACCGGCACCTGAGGACAAAGAATATCCCGCATTTTTCCCTGTGGGACCGGTGGGTGGGTGCCTGAGACCAGCACCTGAGGACGGAAGAAATCGCGCGTTTTTCCCCTTTTTTTTCTCTCTTTTTGCCGAGTGCTTTTTGGAAGCCTTGAAGGGACAGGGACCCCGGTGCTAGGGAGGCAGGGCGGCGGGACTGGTGAGCGGGTGCGTGGGACCAGTGCCTGAGGACCAAGAATATTGAGCGTTCCTTCCCTGCGGGACCGGTGGGTGGGTGCTTTTTGGAAGCCTTGAAAGGACAGGGACCCTGGTGCTAGGGAGACAGGGCAGCAGGACCAGTGCGCGGGTGCCTGGGACCGGCACCTGGGGAAAAAAAAAAAAAAATCGCGTGTTTTTTCTTTTTTTTTTCCTTTCTGTTCCCTCTCTCATTGTTGCTGTTGTTGTTTTGGTTTGGAGAGTGCTTTTTGGAAATCTTAAAGGGGCAGGACAGGTCACTTAGACCAGAAGCAGGGAATCTGGGGATCTCTGGGCACTCTAACCCCCTGGGCAGCAGGGAGCACAGAGGCCCCTTACGGAGATAAATAGTCTCCTGGCTGCTCCCCCTCCAACGGGGCTCCACCATTTTGGAGGAACAGCCCCAGCCAGGCCAAGCCCACAGCAACAGCGGAGATAAACCCCAAAGCAACTGGGCAGGAAGCAGAAGCCCTGTCTGCGCACAGCTGCCCAGCACAAGCCACTAGAGGTCGCTATTCTCCCAGGAAAAGGCTACAAACCAACAAGAAGGGAAGCTCTTCCAGCGGTCACTTGTACCAGCTCTGCAAACTATCTCTATCACCATGAAAAGGCAAAACTACAGGCAGACAAAGATCACAGAGACAACACCTGAGAAGGAGACAGACCTAACTAGTCCTCCTGAAAAAGAATTCAAAATAAAAATCATGAACATGCTGACAGAGATGCAGAAAAAAATGCAAGAGCAATGGGATGAGATGCAGAGAAAAATGCAAGAGCAGTGGGATGAGATGCAGAGAAAAATGCAAGAGCAGTGGGATGAAGTCCGGAAGGAGATCACAGATGTCAGGAAAGAGATCACAGAAGTGAAACAATCCCTGGAAGGATTTATAAGCAGAATGGATAAGATGCAAGAGGCCATTGAAGGAATAGAAGCCAGAGAACAGGAACGTATAGAAGCTGACATAGAGAGAGATAAAAGGATCTCCAGGAATGAAACAACACTAAGAGAAATATGTGACCAATACAAAAGGAAAAACATTCGTATTATAGGGATACCAGAAGAGGAAGAAAGAGGAAAAGGGATAGAAAGTGTCTTTGAAGAAATAATTGCTGAAAACTTCCCCAAACTGGGGGAGGAAATAATCGAACAGACCATGGAATTATACAGAACCCCCAACAGAAAGGATCCAAGGAGGACAACACCAAGACACATAATAATTAAAATGGCAAGGATCAAGGACAAGGAAAGAGTTTTAAAGGCAGCTAGAGAGAAAAAGGTCACCTATAAAGGAAAACCAATCAGGCTAACATCAGACTTCTCAACAGAAACCCTACAGGCCAGAAGAGAATGGCATGATATACTTAATGCAATGAAACAGAAGGGCCTTGAACCAAGGATACTGTATCCAGCACGACTATCATTTAAATATGATGGTGGGATCAAACAATTCCCAGACAAGCAAAAGCTGAGGGAATTTGCTTCCCACAAACCACCTCTACAGGGCATCCTACAGGGACTGCTCTAGATGGGAGCACCCCTAAAAAGAGCACAGAACAAAACACACAACATATGAAGAATGGAGGAGGAGGAATAAGAAGGGAGAGAAGAAAAGACTCTCCAGACAGTGTATATAACAGCTCAATAAGCGAGCTAAGTTAGGCAGTAAGATACTAAAGAAGCTAACCTTGAACCTTTGGTAACCACGAATCTAAAGCCTGCAATGGCAATAAGTACATATCTTTCAATAGTCACCCTAAATGTAAATGGACTTAATGCACCAATCAAAAGACATAGAGTAATAGAATGGATAAAAAAGCAAGACCCATCTATATGCTGCTTACAAGAAACTCACCTTAAACCCAAAGATAAGCATAGACTAAAAGTCAAGGGATGGAAAAACATATTTCAGGCAAACAACAGTGAGAAGAAAGCAGGGGTTGCAGTACTAATATCAGACAAAATAGACTTCAAAACAAAGAAAGTAACAAGAGATAAAGAAGGCCACTACATAATGATAAAGGGCTTAGTCCAACAAGAGGATATAACCATTCTAAATATATATGCACCCAATACAGGAGCACCAGCATATGTGAAGCAAATACTAACAGAACTAAAGAGGGAAATAGACTGCAATGCATTCATTGTAGGAGACTTCAACACACCACTCACCCCAAAGGATAGATCCACCGGGCAGAAAATAAGTAAAGACACACAGGCACTGAACAACACACTAGAACAGATGGACCTAATAGACATCTATAGAACTTTACATCCAAAAGCAACAGGATATACATTCTTCTCAAGTGCACATGGAACATTCTCCAGAATAGACCACATACTAGCTCACAAAAAGAGCCTCAGTAAATTCCACAATATTGAAATTCTACCAACCAATTTTTCAGACCACAAAGGTATGAAAGTAGAAATAAATTCTACAAAGAAAACAAAAAGGCTCACAAACACATGGAGGCTTAACAACATGCTACTAAATAATCAATGGATCAATGAACAAATCAAAATAGAGATCAAGGAATATATAGAAACAAATGACAACAACAACACTAAGCCCCAACTTCTGTGGGATGCAGCGAAAGCAGTCTTAAGAGGAAAGTATATAGCAATCCAGGCACACTTGAAGAAGGAAGAACAATCCCAAATGAATAGTCTAACATCACAATTATTAAAACTGGAAAAAGAAGAACAAATGAGGCCTAAAGTCAGCAGAAGGAGGGACATAATAAAGATCAGAGAAGAAATAAACAAAATTGAGAAGAATAAAACAATAGCAAAAATCAACGAAACCAAGAGCTGGTTCTTTGAGAAAATAAACAAAATAGATAAGCCTCTAGCCCAACTTATTAAGAGAAAAAGAGAGTCAACACAAATCAACATAATCAGAAATGAGAATGGAAAAATCACGACAGACTCCACAGAAATACAAAGAATTATTAAAGACTACTATGAAAACCTATATGCCAACAAGCTGGAAAACCTAGAAGAAATGGACAACTTCCTAGAAAAATACAACCTCCCAAGACTGACCAAGGAAGAAACACAAAAGTTAAACAAACCAATTACAAGCAAAGAAATTGAAACAGTAATCAAAAAACTACCCAAGAACAAAACCCCGGGGCCGGACGGATTTACCTCGGAATTTTATCAGACACACAGAGAAGACATAATA